TCTATTAAGAGACACACTATTCTTCATATCTATCCTAAATTAATACACTAGATGGCAAAGTACATAATATATAGTGTAAGCACATACAGCACAGGTAAACCTCACTCCCCTGGCCTCAAGAGGCGTATTAGTGACTGCCTGCTGGTTGATGCTGGTTTGAATCCCACTTGGAGCAGTGCGATTAGGATTAGTCACATGCACAGTACATCAGTTTGGTAAGAATTTTGTGGGCATCAACAATAAAATGACATTATGAGTGTTGCCATAGGAAACAATAATTACTAAGTCTGTGGAAACAACTCTGTCCTTGTTGTTGTGAATGACAGTATTTCCTACAAGACATGAATAAAAAATTTCTAATAAGAAATAAACCATCAATATAAGAAATTAAAATTTCCAATGGGATAAATGGCACATGGAATATTAACCTTGTAAAGCCTGGCATAAAAATATTAGCCAGAAAAATTATAGCAGACATTTAAATAAAATGCATATAAATATCAGTTGACACTATATCTTCCAAAAATGCCTTATTAAGATTGCATGTAAAAGATTGCGTACAACAGGTTTTTCAGCAATGTTTTGATCTTGTTGATAATTTAGAGGCTTTAGAAATTTGAGTAGGCTATCAAATATGATACTGTAGACTTACAGGCTTAAAGGAGACATATTATGCCCCTTTTTACAATATGTAATATAAGTCTCTGGTGTCCCCAGAATGTGTCTGTGAAGTTTCAGCTCAAAATACTCTACAGATCATTTATTATATCATTTTGAAAATGCCAATTTTGAGTGGAAGCAGAAACATGCTGTTTTTCGGGCCTGTCTCTTTAAATGCAAATGAGCTGCTGCTCCCCGCCCCCTTTTCCAGAATAGAGCTGTGCCATTACAGCTCGGACCTGCAAAAAACATCTGTTTTGGTTCTGATTATCATGTTTATCGTGCTGAAATCATGCATTTTAAACCATATTAGTTTAAACATCTGATATACGGTTTTCTGAGCGCACACAACCGAAGCACACGTCCGTGAAAGCGGCCACCAGACAGCATGTGAGTAATAAACTAAGTTCTCATTCACACACAAGTTTACGATAAAAACACACGAGTTACAAAAGGTTGGTTATGTCTGTGCAGCCAAAGACAGAACTGTTAGCAAATTTTGCTCAAACTTTCGCCATGGCGTTAAAACTGGTACACCGTTGTCACTTGCGAAATCCAACTTTAACATTATTCTAACAAAAAATCTTTCAGAATTTTTAAACCCTATAGCTCCCACTGCGATTTCTTTTAAACATCAAGCAATAAAATATTATTAGAATCCAATACCAGTAGGGTTCTAAATACAAAAAATTATATCCAAGAAGATTCTAGCAATCAAATTTGATCCTATAACCTGAAATTTCTTCAGAATATTTTTACTCAATGGCAATGCAGAGTTTTTAGTTTCCAGAGCTACATTTTTAGTAGACAAAAAGCTGCTGCTAAATGGTTGGGTAAAAGAAGTGTTAGAAATTAATGTATGCATTTGTGTGCAAGTGTCACGTGTGTGGGCTGCACTGAGTCAGTTCTGTTCCCTGACCGTGACTGAGGTCAGTGTGGTCCAACTTCAGCATGATGCAGCCCATCTGTACACACACACCTGTGTACCCATGTCATGACACATGCAAACAAGCACGTTTGTTTTTGTATCTTTGTGGGGACTTTTTTATTGACATATTTTATACTGAGCTAATGCTATTATCTAGCTCTTAATCGTAACCCCATGTTGAACCTGTATACACACACACACACACACACACACAGTCTGCTCTGCCAGAATGCGATCATGTGCATGTGCAGATATGCACACTTTACAGATCTTGTACTCCTCCTACTCTTCCTCTCAGTGGACTTTATGAAATATCACATGACAAACACTGAATATCATATACACACACAAGAACACACACTCATCTGTACCCACAAGCTCACTCATCACTGAGAATCAAAGGTTAGGGCAGGGGACCATGGGGGATAGGATACACAGCCTGCAGAACCATACACACAGTAGTAGGTCACTCCTCGTCATAAGTGCCCTTTGTTCTTAGTGTGCTTTGCAGAAACAACGCAGCCGAGCCTGAAGCTATGAACTGTGCACAATAATCTTAGCCCACCAGCTAACTCATCACTGCACATTCTCAGCACTATAGGGGGCCGTGGGGGAAGACACACACACACACACAAGACATACATACATGAGGCAAGATCAGACAGATGACCACACTCCCCCTCAACACTTGGGGCAGTGACACACGCTTTAAAGAGCAACAGACGGGTTTGGGGAGAGTGTGTACATGTCAGTTCATATGTGTGTCCTTTGACAGTTGCCAACCTGTACTGAACAGCTCAACTCTGAATGTTTCGTCCTAATGCCATAAACATGTTTTTCAGCTTTGTACTGTACATGTGTGCCTTCTTACAGAGGTTGACAACAAGAAAATCTTTATATAAATCTCCTAATGTACAGCATGAATTTGTGTCACAGATTTAGCTCTTAAAAGTGAAGTGTGTCATTTCTGTGCCAACAGCAAAAACGTGTTTCTGTACAGGTTTCCTGCAATAAAGTACTGCAGAAATGATGTCTTTGTAGGGCAGAAGTGAGCATCACTCTGTTTCAGTCAACAAAAATAATCATAGGTTTTTCATATTTGCTAGTGGATAATAGTGAAGATAATATTCGCAAATGAGCATAACTTTTATGAATTTTGAAGCCTAAATCCAGTCGTCAGAAGTAAGAATCTTTGGTTAGACTATTAGCGAACTACAGTCAAATGATTTCAACGTCACCACCACTAAGCATCCTACAACTCTTTCAAAACTATTTCAAAGAGATTTAAAATGTACAAGTTGGAAAGTTTCAATTTAGAATAGTTTGCAAGAGAATGATTATAAAAAGCAGACTAGTGTGTATATGAGTTTTCTCTATGTGATGAAAACATGAAAATATCTTGAGCTTGTGTCAACCAAACAAACAATGCTACAAAGCAGTGTTTAAACTTTTCAGGAGAATTAACCTATGAGCTTATTTACAGTTTTTAGTGTGTTGGGATAGGTGTATTTTAAGACTGAAATAGAAACTTTAAAGGTTCACTTAGTAGGTGTGTCCGAAATCGCTCCCTATAACCTTCTATATGGATTATTTGTGGGACAGCCATTTGTAGTGGTGTCTGAAACCATAGTGGATATTAAAGTGCAAGCATTCAATCCCAAATTGCACCTCAATAAGGAGTGTATAACAGATGTACACTGAAGGGCTATGAATTCCTGAATCTCAAGATCTCCCAGAAGATGGCTTTTCCAACACTACCAGCACACTCTGTGTCCAAATCCACCTACTTGTTTTTTAAGTTAACTATATTAGGGGAGTAATGTGGAGTATAGGGGATGATTTCGGATATAGCCAGTAAGCTTTTTAGCTTACTCTTAGCTGGCTCTTATTAATCCCAATAGTATGGTTTTAGACTCTAAACTGACACCTATCACCCTGGATGCATGGTTTATTTACAACCAAACTGTTAACATTAACTGTGTTCTTTTTCGACGTTTTCCATGTTTTCCATCTCATACTATGGGCTGTCAAATTTAACAGTAATAATGTCAAGTAACATCCATGGAGGCCGGGCCGAGTGCCGAGGCCAGGCTCCCCAAGCTCCCTGTTCCGCCATGGCCTCCTGAACTGTCTGCTCTGCCATGGCCTCCCAGTCTGCCTTCTCCGCCATGGCCTCCCAGTCTGCCTGGTCCACCATGGCTCCCCGAGCTGCCTGCTCCTCCATGGCTTTCAGAGCTCCCTGCTCCGCCATGGCCTCTGTGGTGTCATCTGCGGCTCATCTGAGGAACCACACTTAGTCTTGAGTTTTGATGCCAGAACATACACTTTATTACATCATCAATGAGAATAAAGCGGAGACGCTCTCTGCAGCAAATCATCTCCAGAATGTCTTTCTGTCTCCCCTTTTATACAGGTTGGATTTTAAGGCATGGGGTATATATTCCATACAGTTTTCCGTACATAGAATGGTTCCTTTGTGCATACAGTTCTCCCTAGCGAGAAGGGGTTCTTGTTATGGTAAAGAAAGAAGGCCCCCACTTATGTTTCCCAGATGTTTCTAATCTTAGGGCCTGTCTACTTTAGCCACGTAGGCATTTTCCACACAGGCATATGTGATTCCCCTTTGGTGCCACATTGATTGTTCATAGGGGCCTGCTTGTTGTTGAATTAGAATTATATCCTCTAATTGAGGTTGAGGTTTGATAAGTACTACAGGTGCTAATACTGCTACTTGACACCCTGAAGCTTTTTTAGCTTCTATATTTGCTGCATTGTTTCCCTTAATATCATTAATAACATAATCATTTCCCTTCTTGTGTGCCTGACATTTTATTATTGCTAGTCTTGTTGGAAGCATAGCAGAAATTAATTGCCCTATTTGTTCTATTTTTTCTTTATTTATTTTTATTTTTTCTCTAATGCTATGCGTGCCTGTCTATAACAATCGATCTGTAAATATCCTTCACTTTCTTTTCTCTCATGCCTCTTTGTTTTCACAGCTGGTTCCTTTTTTTTTTCATTTTCTCCCAGCTCTACTGGTCCTTACATTTGCCTTTCTCCAGTTACTTCTACTGTTCCCTTGCGGATTGGGAACTCTCCCTCTGTGGGCAAATAGGGGGGCGGCTCAGATAATAATCTTTCCTTTTTCTTTGTATTTTTGTCTGCCTCTTTCAATATTTTTCTTGCCTGTTTTATATATTTTAATATGTCCTCCCCTTCCTTTTTAAACATTGCTATCACTTCTTTCTCTTTTTCCCTTTTTGCTTCTCTTTTTTCTCGTTTCTTACTGATACTCTTAGTTTTATGGTTTTTTATCAGAGTTTCCATTTCCTCACACAATGTTACCTCAAATGTCCCCTCCTGTGGCCACTTTGTCTCCAGATTTTTTGTTCTCTTCTGCCATTTGTTTGATATCTTGTTTATTAACTCTTTACACAGTGGATATAGTGGATACCTAATATTTCCACCGGAGTGGCTGCCATACTTTTTTCCTATAATATTATAATCCAGTTTTTTCTATTTACTTTAATTATTTTAGCCAATTTCTCCTAATTTTAGTCTTTATTCTGTCTGATGCATTTACCCTTTTTTGTATTTATTGATAGTCTCACTTCTCTTTATTATTTTGTCCGCACTTTTAATTATTTTTAATATATATACTTATTTAACTTAGTACCTTGATCTCACTTCTACTGCACTGATCTCTGAAAATTTTCTCCTTCTCTTTCACATAGACATCAAAATGCAAAAGCCTATAAGAGATCTTGATTCAATTTTTATTGATACCATTTTCCTAAACACATTCACACTTCTTGTCCCTTTATTCAAACAGGGCTCATTCTTTTTCCCTTTATCTAGAGGGATCATCAGTCATTCATCCCTCTCAGGTGTGGCAAGAGCTGCGTCCACACTCTGCCAGGAAGGGGTGCCCACCCAATATGGAATTTATTTATTTCCTCATACATTCACCATCACTCATACAGACATTCATACGGACACAGACACAGTTTCGGTCTCATACTACAAAACACTACACACTTCCTCGAGTGACCTGCAGGGCTCTCGCTCTTTTACTGATTAATCTCCCTCAACTCAGTAAAAAATCAGCGCCCAGCAGGGATTTTTGCCTACCCGTGCAGCCCTATCAAATGTGTTCTACTGAAGAAACAAAGTCACCTACATCTTTAATGGAAATGTGCCCCCCCCCCAACAAAATATTCTCCCACCTGTTTAGTTCTGTCAACTCTGTTTACCTCTATACTTAGCTATCTGACTTGTTTTTGTCTAAATAATGACTTTGCTTTACTCTTACGATTTATACACTTCCTGTAATAGAGAGCAGAACCTTATCATCACTGTCATCTTTGTCTCAGTGACTAATATTTACCTCCATTCCTTTTTTTCTGCCTGCCTCATCTGTCTATCTGCTGTCTATTCATTCATACATCTCTATTTTTATACAAAGACTGTCCCTGTCATATCCCAAGCCATTATGACGCAGAATTAATGATGCAGAGAGATGAAGAGAACGTGTATGAGAGAGAGAACACAGTTAATGGTACAAGCTGTTGGCAGAGAGCAAATAATCAAACTGCTTTTATCTACAAAATGGTTAAAATCAGCAGTTTTTTTATCCCCGGTTTATCTCCAAAATATTTGTAAACCGTGATCCTTCAGATGCTGGATACTGAAAGCGAAAGACATCAAATTCTTCCAAGGAAGCAAGGAAAAAAGGAAGAAGCCAAAATGTGTCAGTTCTGTGGGATGGCTGAGCTACAGAATGGAGTAAAGATGAGCGATAGTGACTGGCTACGGAAGTAACACAATGCCTGTAATTAAAGGCCTAGATACTGATCAGCTAAGGCTTACAGCACAGCAACAGCAGAGATACACCAAGAACAGAAAACTCTAAATGAGTAATTCCCTCTTTTTCAAAGATGTCTACTTACAGCTGTGACACCTTAAGAGAACACCTGCAGATCTGAGACAAATCCACTGATTGCTCTCCAAATTGCTCAGTTACCTTCAAAATAGCAGATGTCCAAGGGCAGAAGATTTGAACATTATCAGGCCCTAAGAACTCATTAGGATATTAATTGAAGGTCATGTTCCATGAAGATATTTTGTAAATTTCCTACCGTAAATATATCAAAACTTAATTATTGATTAGTAATATGCATTGCTAAGGACTTGGACAACTTTAAAGATGATTTTCTCATTTTTATTATTATTTTTTTTTTGTACCCTCAGATTCCAGATTTTCAAATAGTTGTATCTCGGCCAAATATTGTCCTATCTTTCAGATAATGTATAAATCTCAATTAAAAAAAAAAATACCCTTATGGCTGGTTTTGTGGCCCAGGGTCACATACAGTGCTGCTTGAAAGTTTGTGAACACTTTAGAATTGTCTATATTTCTGCATAAATATAACCCAAAAAATAACGAGATGTTCATGCAAGTCCTGAAAGTTGACAAAGAGAACCCAATCAAACAAATGAGATGAAAATATATACGTTGTCATTTATTTATTCAGGGAAATTATCCAATATTACATATCTGTGAGCGGCAAAACTATGTGAATCTCTAGGATTAGCTGTTAATTTGAAGGTGACATTAGAGTCCATCTGTTCAGAGGTGTTTTTAATCAGTGAGATGACTATCAGGTATCAGTGCGCCATCATTGATGGAACAATGAATTCTGAATGTTACCAGCAAATTCTGAAGGAAAATGTCAGGGCATCTGTCCGAGAACTGAATCTCAAATGAAAGTGGGTCATGCAGCAAGACAGCGACCCCAAGCACACAAGTCATTCTACCAAAGAATGGTTAAAGAAGAACAAAGTCAAAGTCCGGTCCAATTAAAATGTCGTGGAAGGACCTGAAACAAGCAGTTTGCAGGAAAAAACCCGCCAACATCACAGAGTTGAAGCGGTTCTGTACTGAAGAATGGGCTAAAATTCCTACAAGCGGTTGTGCAGGACTGATCAGCAGTTACAAGAAACGTTACT